TGTATATCGTTTTTGAAAGATTATTTGTCATAAGCAGAAAAGCACGATTTATTGAAAAAGTAAAATATCATGAAAATCTCGAATTACTGAAACGAAAATAGAAAATATATGTTTTACATTTAAAAAGGACTTGATGGCATGAGGTGCGACTGGCGGTTAGTATAATTTATGAGTGTAAAAGTACAATTATTTATAAGTATAGTCTGCATATCAGGAAGAAGTGTATGCATGATTTCATCTTTGTACTGAACTTACATGGATTCAAGTAGATTCAACTAGATTTATACCATTGTTTAGATAGTGTGATTTGAACAGCCATTATATAAATCTTCATAATGAAACAATTTTCATCACGCTCACTTAAATAATATCCTAATAATCAAATTCAAAATAAACACATTTGTAAATATTTCTGCCATTATACATGTACAGAAAAGTAAATTACTGATGATGTTGTATTTCAACTTGTTTCGATGTTCCTTCGGTTTCTGATGTAATCTTTTCTTTGGTTTCCACGATTCTTGATGTTGCCTTCCTTTTCGGTTTGGTGTCTTTTCAACTTATCATGTTGTCTTGTCGTTGTGGCTTTGGGCACATTTTATCGTTGTTTGTTGACGCTGTGTTTTTTTAGGTTAAGTGTGGACAGTGTAGTGTATTTTGAGATTGTATGTTGACATCGTAGTTACTGAAAGTTGACGGGGTGGTATATTCTGTTATTGTTTGTCGACGCAGTTGTACATATAGGTTGCTAAATGTTGACGTTGTGGTATATTTTGTGCTTGTATGTTGACGCAGTGGTAAATTTTGTCATTGGTTCTTGACGCTTTAGTATATGTTTTGTGGTTGTATGTTGACGGTGATGAATATTTTGTGATTGTTAAGAAACGCTGTTGTGTTCGTTCTGGACGCGGTGGTATATTTTGTGTTTATATGTTGACGCTGAAGTATATGTTGTGGTTGTTTATTGACGCTGTGTGGTATATTTCGTATTTGTGTGTTGACGCAGTGGTACATATAGGTTGCTAAATGTTGACGTTGTGGTATATTTTGTGTTTGTATGTTGACACTGTGGTATTTATTGTGTTTGTTTATTGACGCTGTGTGGTATATTTCGTGTTTGTGTGTTGAGGCTGTGGTATATTTCGTGTTTGTGTGTTGACGCTGTGGTATATTTTGTGTTTTGTTGTTGACGATGTGGTATATTTGCGTTTGTTTGCTGACACGATGGTATATTTTTGTTTGTATGTTGACGCAGTGATATATTTTTGTGTGTTTGTTGACGCAGTTAAAGTAAATTTTGTGTTTTTGCATGTAGCCACTGTGATTTATTCGTGTTTGTGTGTTGACGCTGTGGTATATTTTGTGTTTGTTAGTTGACGCAGTGGTATATTCTGTGTTTGTTAGTTGACGCTGTTGTATATTTGGTGTTTGTTAGTTGGCGCTGTTTTATATTTTGTGTCTGGATGTGTCCACTGTGGTACATTTTGTGTTTGTTAGTTGACGCTGTGGTACATTTTGTGTTTGTTAGTTGACGCTGTGGTTCATTTTGTGTTTGTAAGTTGACGCTGTGGAGCATTTTTGTGTTTGTTAGTTGACGCTGTGGTGTATTTTGTGTTTGTTTGTTGACGCTGTGGTACATTTTGTGGCTTTTAGTTGACGCTGTGGTACATTTTGTGTTTGTTAGTTGACGCTGTGGTGTATTTTGAGTTTGTTTGTTGATGCTGTGGTGTATTTTGTGTTTGTTAGTTGACGCTGTGTTGTATTTTGTGTTTGTTTGTTGACACTGTGGTATATTTTATGTTTGTTAGTTGACGCTGTGGTATATTTTGTGTTTGTTTGTTGACGCTGTGGTACATCTTGTGTTTGTTAGTTGACGCTGTGGTGTATTTTGTGTTTGCTTGTTGACGCTGTGGTACATTTTGTGTTTGTTAGTTTACGCTGTGGTACATTTTGTGTTTGTTTGTTCACGCTGTGGTGTATTTTGTGTTTGTTAGTTGACGCTGTGTTGTATTTTGTGTTTGTGCGTTGACACTTTGGTATATTTTGTGTTTGTTTGTTGACACTGTGGTATATTTTGTGTTTTGTGTTGACACTGTGGTGCATATTGTGTTAGTTAAGTTCCACCACTCAGTGGTGTATGTTGAGGCTGTGTTATATCATCTGTTTGTATGTTGACTCAGTGGTATAATTATGGTAGTATGTTGACGCTGTGGTGTATTTTGTGTTTGTTAGTTGACGCTGTGGTACATTTTGTGTTTGTTTGTTCACGCTGTGGTGTATTTTGTGTTTGTTAGTTGACGCTGTGTTGTATTTTGTGTTTGTGTGGTGACACTGTGGTACCTTTTATGTTTGATAGTTGACGCTGTGGTGTATTTTGTGTTTGTTTGTTGACGCTGTGGTACATTTTGTGGTTTTTAGTTGACGCTGTGGTTCATTTTGTGTTTGTTAGTTGACGCTGTGGTGTATTTTGAGTTTGTTTGTTGACGCTGTGGTGTATTTTGTGTTTGTTAGTTGACGCTGTGTTGTATTTTGTGTTTGTGTGGTGACACTGTGGTACCTTTTATGTTTGATAGTTGACGCTGTGGTGTATTTTGTGTTTGTTTGTTGACGCTGTGGTACATTTTGTGTTTGTTAGTTGACGCTGTGGTACATTTTGTGTTTGTTAGTTGACGCTGTGGTGTATTGTGTGTTTGTCTGTTGACGCTGTGGTACATTTTGTGTTTGTTAGTTGACGCTGTGGTACATTTTGTGTTTGTTAGTTGACGCTGTGTTGTATTTTGTGTTTGTTTGTTCACGCTGTGGTGTATTTTGTGTTTGTTAGTTGACGCTGTGTTGTATTTTGTGTTTGTGCGTTGACACTGTGGTATATTTTGTGTTTGTTTGTTGACACTGTGGTATATTTTGTGTTTTGTGTTGACACTGTGGTGCATATTGTGTTAGTTAGTTTCAACCACTCAGTGGTGTATGTTGAGGCTGTGTTATATCATCTGTTTGTATGTTGACTCAGTGGTATAATTATGGTAGTATGTTGACGCTGTGGTTTATTTGTGTCTGTTTTAATCGATTTAAATCTTCTATATTTGTAATTGAAAACCAGTAACATGTCCATTAACTTCATATTTTCTCATTTATCAAATTTAAAATTTTAGCCCCGAGCTACATGTAAAAGTATACAATTTCCGTACTTGACAGCTTAAAAATATGCTGATGAAAATCGGTCTCTATTTTTATTATTGATGACATGTATCCTCACAAAATGATAATTCAAATTTCAATTTGTAGTGAAAGGATTATCATTCCCTTTATTTAAATGGAAAGAATCATCAGATATCGAATTGTCTGCAATTAATAAATGCAAACAATTTTCCGGAGGAAAGCTGTTGCATGAATTTAGGCAAAATATACGTATGATTAATGACGTCCATAATAGATCAAAACAGGAAAATGTCTATACATGTATACCTATACAAGCAAAGTATCATGAAATGTTTAATTCGGGATTTTGTTTCATTGTTTTTATATGCTTTCGATTAATATTACTCACTGTAAGGAGAAATCATGTCAAGGTGATACAACGGTTATTTATTAGTGTCTGAAAGCGAAGGCGAGTCATGGCATTTAATGTATGTAGTTATAGTTATTGAACATAAATTATTTGAGAATGCCATCAAAAAAAAAATATGAAGATTGATTAATATTGAATATCACATTAATTCTTTGAGATATATAACTGGTACGGTTAAGCACTGCTTTACTAGGCGTGTTATGTAATTCACGCGTAACAATCCACACACATCCATACATTATGTTGTGTCTGCTGTGTCATGCTGTTTTATAGCTGTATGATATATATAATGTCGAATCGTCTTGACAATCTCCATCTATCTTATTACTATTTTGATATTCACTTTTGCGACCATTAAAAATGGTTTACAATTAACTGATGCTTGATGTTTCATAGGCATAGATATCATGCTTTTTGGTATTATGTAATGCATGTAATGTTGAGTGTTGTGCAATTCTTCCCTAATTAATCCAAATTAAAAGCGTTAATTCCCAGTATCTACATACAAATATGCATACAAGATTGGAGTACTTAAGCTCCACAAAAGGTTCAAACTGTTAAATTTGATTTTCTATTTATTCATATATAATATATCTATATATGAAATAACACAAATAGTTTCGTATTAATTCCCTACTACTCTATGCGTCATTTCTTATATATTTAACTATCACAATGACGTTGGATGCTATTGTGTGTATTTATATGCCATTAATATGGATATTTATAAATTTAGCTGTTAAACTATAAATAGATGGAACCAATTGCTTATACGTGCCAATGTAGGGTCAGAAATAATACCCAAGGAAGTTCCAAATTGTTGTAAAACTTTAGAACTGTCGGGAGTTTTTCTTTTTTCGATGTAAATAGACTATGTTTAACAACTTCAGTTTTTTGGGACTACATCTTTTCTTTTCCTTTTCTTATTAGAGCGTGTCCTCATTTGTTTGTGAAAAATTACATAAAGCGTTGGTAGAAACAAAGCTAACGTATAAGGTTTGTGAAGAAAAAAAAGAAAAAGGAAGACAACATGAACCAGATATGCTTTGTTATATGAGCAAGTGTAAGGAAAGATTGGGCCTTCTTGTATGACATTGCTCGTATGAAGCGACTGATGTGACTCCCTGTAGAATTAAGGGTTTACACAATTGATCTGCTGCACTTACTATAAAACCTTCATATGTTCCTTTTATATCTTTATATGCAACATCTTAGCTTCTAGTGAATGTCTTTCTTTACCCATTTTTGTATATATGGATAATAAGCTTAGCCTCCGGTCGTTTTTTTTTAGTTTTTTTTTTTACTAATTTTCTACCTTTGTATAATATATTAAGCTTCCATTTGTATCTTTCTTATCAATGTTCTACCTTTTTGTCCTTTTTTTCGACAAAGCTAAAATTAGAAGCTGATTTAGAAATGGGAGACAGAAATAGAAAAAAGTACAGATATTATTGTTTATTAAAATCATATAACAAAACGTTCACACTTTCACACTCACTTTTAAATAAAATCTTAATAGCAACGGAAAATAAATAAATGATCAGGTTGACAAAATCAGGAACACATATTAACCATCTCCTAATCAATTTGTTTAAAGCATAATTGACTCATCATTGAATACTAGTAGATAATACTTAATGGAGTTACTCATACTTTTCTGATAACAGAGCGATCACCTGTGAGTGATCTTCTTTTCCCTTGCCTAATGTAATAACAATATATACAATGATACACATCTAAATATAATGTCGTCTATTGTAACAATTTATCAAGCCTGTACAATAGTTATGCTACAAGTTCGTAAACAACTTGTTCAATGTAAGATATCTATTGATCAAATTCCATATTATGAACACTTCTATTTGTGACCAAACGTATGGGTTGGAAACATGAGTCCAGAAAAAAGTCTACTTTTCTTCGTCGAAGTTGTTTTCATAATTTTACAGGATGTGTCCGGCGCCATTTCTATTTATGTATTATTTTTACTTGATAGTCAGTTAGAAAAGTTTGTTAAAGGTGAATCAGAAAAAAAATACATTTTTAAAAATGAAAGTTCTTTTGGCGCCATTTTGTTCAAAATGTCCTCATATGCAAACAACATAACTGAAAGAACGTCAGATTATGCTTACAAATCGACGCTGGATAGCCTGGCAACTTTGGACGGAAATATTTATTTAAACTTTTGTAATTTTTTAAAGTTTTCCGTATTGGTTTGAAGATCTTCCATTCATATGAAAACATGACTGGTGACATAATCTGTAAAATAAAATAGAAAACGAATGATAGCAAATATAAAATGATAGCTGTCAATCAATTTAAAAAAAAATGTGTGGATACTTATGAATTCTTTATACCTTTGATATATTTACCTCTGTTCATCATTGCCACTATTTAAACCAGTAAAACTCAGTTTCGAAACCATAAACCTGGATTTATTATCATGACATCATTCTAATTATGACGTCATAATCATAACATTGGAGAAAGTTTGCCGATACCCGCTGTTAGTTGTTCCAATAAATGAAATTTGTCTCAGATTTGAAGAAAATATATGCAATCTTAATATAAAAATCAAAGAGAAATATTATTATAGATATTGCAAAGAAATCTGTCGAGAATTATAATTCTATAAGTTTGAATAAGATTGCAGACATGTTATGCATCTAATTAGATTATAACTCCGAACGGAATGCAGGTAATGCCTACTGTAGTTGTTACAAACTATGCTATCGTAAGTTGTGTGTGTCGTCTACACCAAATGTGCGAAATTTAAGTTTGGATGGATAAATACAATTCTGTCTGGAGATATTTATCGCGTTAATGTTTAATGTTAGTCTAACGATCAAAACGTTAAAAGTGAATTAGAAAGGGAAAGCTGTAAACAGAGGTGAAGGTGAGTCAAAAGAATTTGTCAAGCATTAATTGAATGTGGTGCATCATTGTAATGTGATCGTAAAATCAGGTTAGAGCAAAATTAGAACTCAACAAAGCGTGTAGATGTTAAGAGGTAATTGTGGATGTGAATAGAGGGCCTTTTACGTTTTTGAAGCTATCAAACAACCCAACCTTACCTCAGTTTTTCAATGTTCTGTTGGTAAACACATCATATCAGAATAAAACCAGTCAATCATATATTCAGGGATATTTTTCATATGACACGTTTTTCTTAACTTTGATATCATTTGAATTGTATCGTTCCAACTTCAAAATTTCAAAAGTTAGGTGAATTATCTTCTGTTATAGAAATTCGTCAACGCCGATACATTTTTATATTATAATATTATATGATGTTTTTTATAAATATCAATAAAACACTCGCTACTTACGTATTTGGTTTTGAGGCCATACTCTATGTCTGGGCAGGAAATGTTGGGTATTCATAGACGAATGCTGGCTTGCAACAGGTGCTGAGAATGGCCATTGGTGTATCGTCGATAGAGGGATAGGTCTCACTACACTTGATCTGTGAGCAGAGTTAAGCTTTGGAATAAACCTATGTCTATCAGTGTTCACTGACGAATGACCAATTGTTCGTTGTGCCGGTCTGGCGACGCTGTTGATGTGGGATGGCCTCAGGTTTGAACGTATGTTCGGCACATTGGTCATCATATGATTGTTTTTGAGCCGTCTATTTTTCATTAAATGAAGCAATAATTGATAACGTTTATTTTGAAAATGCTCTAGTCTTTCCGAGTTTGTATAAATTGGTGCAGATGATCTCAGAGTCGGCATGGGTTCATGTTTTGTCGATGCTATTGGTTTCATTACCGATCTGTTGGGGATTTGGCTCCTTCCTCCCAGTGGGGATTTCGAAATGCCGGTCATAGTGTGGTGTTTCTTCATAGTTTGGGTAGCTGTTAACTTCTTTTTTAGTCCAAACAACTTCTGTCTGGCTTTCACTAGATTGATTATTTTTTGAATGTCGATTTTATTTGGCTTATTTGACTGCATTTGGGCAGGACGCTGTATAATGTTGTTTTTTCGAACTGTTGATGGAAAAGATTTTTGGAAACTGGTGCTGACTTTTTGTTTTGATAAAAACTCTTTCCTCTTATTTGCCTTCAGAATATTTACCAAAGCATTCCATAATTTCTTTGAAATTCCTTTTCTAGGCTGTGTATCCGGATCGTGTGGGGCATGCAACCTTTGCTTACTTGTGTGAGTCGATGTTCTATGTCCTAAACTGGAATCTACTGGGAAATGCGTAGACGGAAGCATGCTCGTCTGTTTTGATCCACCTAACATCTGTTGTAATGGATTGATATCATGGCGTCCTAAGGATACTGGCTTAATCGTTTTAGGTTTTGAACCATTGGCATGTGTCAATTTACTTGCAGTTCGATTTGACGATCCGTCAATTGAAGAAAAAGGAGAGTTAAAAGTATTTATCTTAGTTTTGTGTTGCTGATTATTATTGTTTTTGAAAATTCCTTGAAGAATTTTTTTCATATCAATGCCCTGAGGCCCATGGTTTCCATTTGTATTATCTCCAGGAGATATCCCCATTGCTAGGACGGGTCCACTAATTTCGATTTCTCCATTAGGAGGTGGATCCTCGACAGGACCAAACAAAATAGGCCCAACAAAAAAACCATCCTCACTATTCATGTCACCTGCAGATGCCATGGGATTGATAAAAGGAATGGTAGGTTTTGCTCCATTAGACAAGGCATGGCCAAACATTTGACTGATATCAGGAACATGGGGCTGGTGAGGGTTCGGTTCCTGCGCATTGTTGTTAGATGAAACATCCGGTAATGCAGCAATAGGTACTACATCATTTGTGACAGGATCAAGAAAATGAAAAGCAGCATTTGGGTCTTGTGGTGGTTGAGGTTGATTTAATGAAGGTGGTATTTCCCCAACGCGAAAAGCGGAAACAGATCCAACGCGAATTGCATTTTTCTTGTCACCGACCACTGCAGCTATTTCAGGAATAGGATCAATATGTGTTTTAACATTTGCAACAGCGTCTTCCCAGGCATGATGAGCGTTTCGGAGAACATCCGAGGAAACGTTATTGAATGGATCAACTGGTCTATTCGTGTCTGGATCGAAAAAGATGGAATTATTATTGATGAAGATCCCGTTTTCCTCGGTTGGTTTTGTCGACGGAATTTGGGTTGTTGTTGGCTGTTGAGATTTTTCCACCTCCTTTTGTTTATTTCGCTCTTCTTTCCTTTTGGATTTTGGATCGTTTTTACGATTTATAAAATTTTCCGAATTTTTAGGATTCGTAAAGAAACGTAGCTTTGCACTTTCTCTATTTGTTTCCTCTATATGTCTTTGCATATTTCGTATTGTAATAGGGGTATTTAGCATAGGACTATTCGAAAGATCCTGAGATAAATCCACATCTGCCCTACTGAGTGAATCAGTCAGTCCCATCTGATTTCTGTGGAAAGAAGCGTGTGTATTGTGTCCCTCGTGTGAAGGAAAATGATTAAAAGTCGAACTTGTATCAGGAGATAGCAGCTTTTGTCGGATGGCCTTTTCGTCTAATGTGATATGACCAGAGAGATCTGTTAGGCTGTGCTCTCTGTGGAAACTGTTATGATCGTTAAACAGACTCTTGTCTATATGTTTCTCCAATGAGTGGTGGTGGTCGTGGTTATCAGCTCTTTTGCTAGCGCTTACTCCAACATCAGTTGTAACCGTGTTTCCTAAAACTGTTCTTGGAATATTAGCAAAACCATTTACACTTCCTATAAGCGCATGCGTCAACCCAGGATCATTCGGTAGAAGATTCATCCCGTCTAATGGTTTCATTATAGCTGTATTTCCGTTAAGATTGAACAATGCTTCTCTTATCTGCTCCAACAGTACATTGCGTTCTTTTGCTTCATCCTTAGAAGTTGCCAACTTATCGGAGCGGACGAATTCAGCGGGATTTGAGTCAGTTATTTCTGATCTAGTGTTCCAAATACTATTTGCATTCTTCCTAGATTTTATAGTATTTGTGCTGTGCATTTTGTCTAGGGAATTACCAGTAGTTTGTGGCTGTAACGGAACCTTTTCTGACGTAATATCCTTATGTCCTGTTAGAGGATTGATCATATCAACATGTCCTTTATGTGAAAGGGAGTGAATTGTTCCTTGATCCAGGTTTTGGTTTACGTTGGCAAAATTATAGGACGTAGAATGTTTCTTGTCAAGCATCGCAGAAGGAAAGTGCGGTTCAATTGGGAAAAGGATGCCTTCATGCAGATGTTCTTGTGGTGGAATAAGGTCCGATGGACTAGGAGAAACAAAAAAGCGACGTTTTGGATGAGATTCACCAGATCTTCCTAAACTAGGGAGACTTCCTGTCAGTTCGTTATGATCTAGTGCAGTATTTGATGATGTTCCCAAGTGTGAATATGAAACTCCAAATTGTACATTCGAGCTTTGCCCATTTTCCTCTTGCTGAAATCCATGTCTGGCTCCAGCCGATATCGCCGGTGGAAGAAGGATGGGATCAAAGTTTGATGCGGGAGACATTGTTATTTCTTCAGTGATGTTTCCTTTTACAATTTCGTTTGTTGTGTTTGCTGACTGTTCAGCCTTCTTTTGCGATGTGTTCAAAGTATCGAATGGCGATTTCGACTTTGAATGTTTCGGTTCTCTAACACCTTTAAGTACGTCTGAAGGGAGTGTATTAGAATTCAACATGTCCAAAGACTCCAAAATCTTTGATGCTGTTGCCTGGTTTGCAACTTCTAGCTTAGTAGATTTTGCCTCTAGTACTGTACTAACAGCTTGTTTAACTACTTCAGTATTGACTTCTTGTCTACCTGTTTTAGCAGTTAACACTTCATTGAGTAGTTCAGGGTTTGCAGTCTCTTTTCCTGCTAAGTTTTTGACCACGTTTTCGATGTCTGCATAACTGACTATTTGCTTGTCTGGTGCAGCGTTCGCCACGTTATTGACTAATTCTTGATTGACTATTTGATTGTCGAGATCCGAGTTGATACCTTTGTTTGTTTTTTCAGTATTTTGCACGATATTGGCTAGTTCCTGATTGACTGTTTGATTGCCTAGATCTGAGTTGATACCTGGATTTGCGTTTTCAGTATTGTGCACGTTATTGACTAATTCTCGATTGACTATTTTATTTTCGAGATCCGAGTTGATACCTTGGTTTGTTTTTTCAGTATTTTGCACGATATTGGCTAGTTCCTGATTGACTATTTGATTGTCTAGATCTGAGTTGATACCTGGATTTGCGTTTTCAGTATTGTGCACGTTATTGACTAGTTCTCGATTGACTATTTGATTGCCGAGATCCGAGTTGATACCTTGGTTTGTTTTTTCAGTATTTTGCACGATATTGGCTAGTTCCTGATTGACTATTTGATTGCCTAGATCTGAGTTGATACCTGGATTTGCGTTTTCAGTATTGTGCACGTTATTGACTAGTTCTCGATTGACTATTTGATTGCCTAGATTTAAATTGATACCTGGATTTGCGTTTTCAGTACTTTGCACGTTATTGCCTAGTTCTCGATTAACCATTTGATTGCCTAGATCCGAGTTGATACCTTGGTTTGCGAATTTAGCATTTTGCACCTTATTGGCTAGTTCTCGATCGACCATATGATTCCCTAGATCGGAGTTAATATCTTGGTTTGCGATTTCTGTATTTTGCACATAATTGACTAGTTCTCGATGATTGGTTAATTGATTGTCTAGATCCGAGTTGATGCCTTGCTTAACGTTCTCTGTATTTTGCACGTTTTTGACTTGTTCTCGAATGAAGATTTGATTGCCTAGATCTGAGTTAATATCCTTATGTGCGTTTTCTGCATTTCTTAGAATTGTTGAGGAAGTAACGGGAGACATTGGTACAGTTTCCTGTTGACCAGTGTTGATGCTGTCGGTAAATGCCACATTTTGATGAGTAGTTTGCTCATGTGTACCTGTCCACGGACTCCAACTTGCAAAGAATCCCTTTGATTTCGGTTTTTGTAATACATTTGCTGTTGGGAGTTCCACAGGAAGATCATTGATGACAGGTTTGGGTGTTGTTTTCTTTTCTTTTGTTAATGTAACTTCAGTTGGACTGTATAAGGAGTTCACCTCTGATCCAGTTATCAATTTCCCATCCGTTGTTATGTCTGGAACAGTTTGCTGACCTTCAAACCATGCCGGGGAAGTCGCGGTTGCAACAGGTTCCACCCATGATGTCCATCCCACTGCACTAGGCGCTACTGGTTTCTTGTTGGTCGTTTTAAGATGGAAGCTGTTTGTAACGTGTGTTTCCGTATTCGAATTCATAGCAGCAACAGGATTTGGAGTACTGCTTGCGTATAATGCATTTGAAGCTGTAGTCTTCATAATTTCATTCACATTTGAATTTAATTTGGCCTTGCGCACTTTCACCGCATTTGTCGAAATCTCAGCCATCTCCATGGGTCCTATACTAGAGCGCACTATTGTGTTTTCCGTCCATGTATGTTCGGGAGTAAGTTCCACTGCTGCATTTAGCCATGGGAGTTCCGGTTCATGAAGAAAACTTTTCGCATTGTTAATTGGCACATCTTTTATGGGTCTAATTTCCTTCGGTTTTGAATTCTTTGCACTAGGAGACAACTCATTACCATTCATACGTTTTTCGATGACAATGTCAAATCGGTCTCCAACTTGCCTTGGATTCGACTTAACTAGGTTCTTCCAGCTCCTTGGAGCCACGAGACCTTGGCCTTTCTTATCACCTCGGCTCGTCATTTCTATAATTTCCTGGGATGATATAGAAGTGCCCAGAAAGTCGACACCTAACGGCAGAGGTGAAAACTTTTGTTTGTTAATTAGGTCCGGTGGCTTACCTTGATTAGTCACTTCCTTCGGTTTTTGAACGTCGGCAACACCAAGTAAATCTGACGTCGGCGCAACCGGAAACTTTTTTTTTATGGTGTTGCTCTTTCGACTTTCGTGATGGCTTGGAGCCAGACTCGCGACTAATAATTCCTGCGGCGAAGCAAGACCGTTGATTACACCAGAACCTTTGGCCCCAAACTGGGTTAACCCTGACAATGTTCCCTGTTGTTGTTCGATAGTTATATCTTGTGGGACAATCAATTGACCTGTTAACAGATAAACAATCTATAAAATATTCGTAACGTGTCATAGTCATAAAAATAATACTTAGGATAAAAACATATCTTCATACAAAATACCCATACTATTTCATCCTATAAACCTGGCAATATATGTTATGTTTGGAACTAGAAATATATAATATCTGTATTCATTCAGAACTTTTCCCAGAAATCAAAGAGCTTACGCACCTACAAGCGAATATGTTATAATTCGCAAGTTCATGTTCAACACGAACATACATAATGTAAGACGTATATGTTGAGTGAAACGTATTTTCTAACGTCCTCGCAAATAAGAATCAGCTGTTCAAGTCGGTAAATCATGTTCGCTCTAAATATTATCAATCTACAGAAAGTGGTCTTTTTAGCACAGGAATTCCTGTAGAAGAATACTTATTGTCAACTGTATAGATCATCTAAACATCGTTCCTGTTTTCTTTTCTTTTTCTTTTAAAGTCAGAGCAATATTCGAATTTTGACGACAATCAGATATCATTATAATCCTAATATTTGGTTATGTTTAACATGTCTTTATCGACACAGCACATTTTAGGCATTTTGTAAGGTCGGAAAGTTCTCAGAATACTTTCTTTTCTGCCTTAAACCACGAGTTAACCAACACATATTGTGTCTGCCCTGATGTTCTAATCTCTCTTCGCATCAGTTTAGATATTTCACGATATAAGAATTATAACACTGGGCGATATATATCTGTATTCAAGGTAAAAAGATTGAGAGGTAAATCCCTGCCCGATTTCTCATTATGAAATAATAAAAAAGTCTACAGGTGATACTAAATATTTTATATATGATTAATATTAATGAAAATTAACAATATAAATATTGACAGTCATGATATATATTCTGAATCAAGATAAAGTCCAGATATAGAGAAAACTTGATAACTCACCTAATGTCAGGCTGAAGGTTGTCAGGAAAATCAAAGTTACAAGGGCTCCCATGTTTTCTGTAAAAATCAAATAGTTCTTTTTAGAGTGCTTCGTACCTGACTTTGCATTCTGAATAAATTTACAAGTACATGATGCATGGAAACAGTATCCACAATCAAGGACCAATTGCTATGCCAGTAATACTGAATGAAAAGACCCGAACAGAAAAGAACAAATGATAAAAGGAATAATGACCTTCCACTCGATACATCGGAATAACAATAATGTGTTTTGGAAGGTTGCTCATTTGCTGTACCACGTTTGACACTCTTCACGATGTCTCTATTGAGCATAGTTACATTGTATATCCTTGGATTTAAACTCAATAAATCAAGTGGGTTCTATTACTATGACATCGAAATAAAATGTCTATAGGGCTATTGTCTACTGTTTGTCTGAGATGTTGCGATCGTCTGGGTCACATGGATAGCTCCTTTCCTATGTTAATGAATGGTAATCTAATTAAAGTATTTACATTGTTATCTGACATGAGCCTTACAAGCAATGTCACCTCTTCTACAGAACGCTTTGTCAACGACATATTCTTTTCATTTGTATATTTATTGTTTTGGTTATATGTATGCTTTAACAAACCCCTCTGTGTTCAATAATCTTTTATTGATGATCGATAAATATGCTTGAATATCATCAAACCAGTCTAGGGATCATTAACCGTGTTTTACTAGTGTTTGTATAGACCTCATACATGATCTATGGTATTTGTTGAGAAATATAAACAAATAGGTTACTCGCTGATAAAATCAAATCATGGTAATAAACAATGGTGTCAAATTCTAAATGAATTCTAGTGTCACTGAGAATTCAATGTATAGACATTCCGTTACGCTTAAAAAGCTTAGTAATGGAACATGAAATACGAAATGTCATGATAAGTAGTTAAGGTAATGACGTGACGGGGTTACATCTTTATATACATCCCTGTCATGTTCGTGCTCATGTCCTACGGAAATAAATCTGACAGCGAGATTCAACGGATGTGACAGCTTTGAAAGAAGGTAAGGACAAGACACTGTTCACGCGTAAATCGGCCATCCCAATAGTCTTACTCCTCAAATGTTTCATATTCATGACTTTGTTTTGAAATGGTGCACTTTTTTCACGGCATGTGATTTCAATTCTGCACCGGTTAACATTGTCTGCACTCATAACAAAGTGGTAAGACAGTGTCATAGAATAATTGACACTGTGTTAGCAAAATAATTATGAACACGTTATATAGATGATGCGGAACTTATTTTGTTCAAATTTTAATAAGAACCTGTTTAACAGGGAATTAAAAATTATTTCTTACACTTACATTATAGAAATTGATATCAAGTTTTAACATGAAACCTGTTGAAACCAAGAACCGACCAGAAAAACCGCTGGTTTAGACAGATTTCGGATGATACAATTCTATTTTGATTTACCTTTGTAGTACATAGAAATATATACAATACAATATAGTTATCAGCGCATTCACATTATGCTCTCATTATCCTACAGTGTTGTTTATACAGGATTGCAGACAGGGTTCAGTTTGGATAAGTCACATCTTATTACTATGGACTGATGTTGTCACATCAAATCCTTTCACGGACTACTGTACTACTAGTAGAAACCAATGGGTTGTTCGAGAACAACTCAACAACAACAAATAAAAGCAACTAATTTTAAGTCGAATATTAATATATTCCTCTGTTTACATGGTTTATTTGTTCTTGTCCGATGGCGCGCGCCATGTTCCCTATTAGTCGTAGATGAAGATGTCCATTGCGTCTATCACTGGATCTGCTTTCCTGTCATTTTTGTGTTGGCTGAGTCTAATGATGGTAACTATGAAATATTGTTATGTATGAAACTCAAACTATCAGAAACCGCCAAACGTAATTAAATTAGACAGAACCGAGGAATATAAGACACTTTATAATAGATTACAAAAAAAATGCAACCAAAACATTGCATACAAATCTCGCAACAAATATTACACGGAAATACATCCATTCATAAAAAGCATCAAGGACATATCAAGGACATTTGATCTGTCTACTTAAAAGTCTTAACAAGTAAGGATCCTTGTATATATACATACCTAGTATTATTCTGCAAATCGGTTGATTAGCAAGTTACTAGTAACTCCCGTTTTGATGTAAGTGGACACTGATTAACAGTGGGAGCACCTCGACCCAAGTACACTGCTGTCTCTCTGAAGAAAGTTCGAAATATGAATGAACATCAGTATTCACAAGTGCTCTATGTGTAATTGACAGCAATATCAATTACAAAATGTACACTCCTTCAGAATTTCTAATCAGTTGATGATATACAGGATTCTGGCTCATCATTTTAACTGCAAACTACCATCACATAGGACACCGTTATGGTGTGCTGCGGTTGACTGCCTATATCAAACGATTTGAGATGTTAAATATTCTTTAGAAAGGCTAATAAATGTCAGCTGTGATGAAGTGATGTTCAAATGATAGCTGTAACTTAAATTGACATTGAAATTAATTAATTCTTCACCGTTTACCCACCAGTGGTTAACATAAATAACTTATAGCTCGAGTATGGTATATGTAGTTGCGAATACGTGTCATTGACACTTGTTCCTAATCACTCTGACCTTGATTTTTGTTTGAAAGTAAATTTCCGCCTACGATATTATTAAACATTTGCTAAATTATTTCAAATTTAATGAATTAATAATGAATGGAAGCGAAGTACACTTCGGAAGTTTTACTTAAAAAAAAAAGACCTTTTCGTGGTCTGACATTTTTTTCCGTGTAAGCACGTTCGCTGATACGACATTTATCGAACAGAAATAATTATCAACTTGGTCAGATTTTAAACTTAAACGATAGGCTAGCAATTTATCAACATCTGTAACGTTAGTATTGCAAAAGAGGATATACGGTGTCAGACCGCAAAGAAATTCTCACACAAAAAAGACAGCTACAATATATTATTATGTAAATGGCTATTTCCTTTCCGTTAGCTTAAGTACTTAAATGGACTTGATTGTGGTTTTGATACAACATGGAAACACAATAACTATAGTTAATGAAATTCAAGAATGAAGGGATTAATTCTATTTCCTGGTTTCGGACATTTGTGCTACAGTGTATCGTTAAATACTTCAACAGAAAATAATTATCACTTCATGAAGGTTGTTTAAGCTTAACGTCTAGGATCATGCATTTTCCAAAACTGAGTCATGGCATATGAACGCTACAATGAAATACGTTTTCACTCTACATTCTCAGAAACAAAAAATAAATAAAGGGCTTTCTTAGATATTTATTTATGAAATTAGAAAGAGATAACAAAGGTAAAGAATCCCCCCCCCCCCCCAATACTGGGTAGATTTCTTGTTGAAAGATTAAGCCGCTCCTGTCATTATGTGAACATTTTTAACTATCCATGATACAGCTCTGACTCGATGCGGGGTCATGCATGCTCATGTATTATTTTTATGATATTTTATTTCAACATGACTAACTAATGTATTTACCTAACAGTGATTTTTTCAATATCGTTTTGTAGTACAGAAGTATGCATAACATTTCACATTAACTTATACAAATTAAGTATTATTTCATTATATCTCGATACTCTAACTCAATAAAAAAATTCCTGCAAATTAAAAATTCGCTTTAATACCAAACATAACGCTATATCGTTAAAAAAGGACAAATAAAAATCGGAAATCCAATATAAAAAGGCAAGAACCAAGACAACACCGTTTCAAAGGAAAAGCATGCGTCCCATATAAAACCGGAGATAGCCCCTTCTGCTCCGGATGGTGAAGCGTCTCTAGACTGTAAAGGGGCGGATCCAGGATTTTTCAGTGAGGTGTCACCATTCTAGATTTCCAGTTTATTTTGCGATGCATGTGGTTTGAACCATATCATGATTCACAAAATTAAGTTAGATTTCACTCTTGGCCTTGTAGTTTTACAAAAGTGTCCAAGTGGACTGGATCATCAATATATTATTATGATATTTATATATTTTAATTTTCTTACGAAAACAAATGATCCTGGTGTGGTTTTGTGGTTTCTCTTAAATAAATGTACTTAACGACCTGCTACTCTGTCATGGATACTATATTCTCGGAATGACCTAAATTTCTAAATACAAGTTGAAAATGTCCTAAACAATATGCAATCAAAACTGTCACCTACATGAAGTGGTACTGTAAGTGGAAAAGATGCGTAGAGAAGCGTTTTTTTTATATGTAAATAAAATATAGAATACGTTGGACCCATCAGGATATTTCTCGTCAATCTCAAAAATGTTTCAGCCACAAAAAAGAACTACATGTGTTAAACACGATGATCCTATCTTTATCGTGGTAGATAGTGTGCAATTTTGGACGTTAAACTCCCTCATTGTAGAAATAATCATTTCCGGTAGAAAGCTATTGCTATGTTATTTAATCGTTAGTAATACACGGACACATCGGAAAAAGGTTTTTGGTTTTATGAACAAACTTACATGGCTTTACAAAATTTCTAGCGAAAACTCCCGAGGCTATTTCCAAGTTTATACATGTTATAACCTACAATTAGTGAAATGTAATGTAAATCACCTACTTACACCTAAAGCGTGCGTTTTAGAGTCACGTAATATGCAATATCACTCGGATGCACGTTTGATTTAAGGAAAGCAAGGCAGACGAATGACTTATTATTAAAGATTCGTCTGTCTGATATTCAAATTGAATCTAATTGCAAGTTTTACCTTGAATGCGTTCAGGTGCATTTCACGTAACATAAACAACACCTGTGTATAATATAACGAACCTATTACTGTTGTCGATTTACTCAAAATAACATAAAAGACGACGTCTTATTTCTGAGCCAACTTGCCTATTTGATACATGCAACAACACCATAGACTAAATTATCATTTGTAAGATATAATCAACATTGGCTACGACTGTTGTCTATTTTATAAAACAACGTAAGATCGCATGTTGACTGTTAGATTTAACAATAGGCGCCTGTTTAATGAAAACAATATAAACTACGCGTGTTGTATGTATGATATAAATAACATAAGGTTTATGAACATTTAATTAAAACCAAGAAATTGTTAAATAACTTATCTATATTCTAACCACTTTCGGATTGTTTACATGATTTATGTTATTGATGTATGTTTTGTATATGAACACTTCATTTTGATTGACATAATGTAATGCATGGATCGCCTGCATGAGTGCGCAATGGACACGGAAATTGTTTACGTGGAATGCACATTTGCATGTATTTGTCACTTGCTGAACTTCTGATACGTCTGGGTTCTTTCTCTTGTTAATTTGCAAATGTTTCTCAATGCGAAACTTGTTCAAGAGAACTTGTTGTATAACATATAATGGTTGTCTGTACTCTGTTACCTTCAGCCACTTTGATTAAGAACACAGTAAGGAGCTGGATGGATAGATGAACGCTTTAGGAAAGGAGCGTTATTTGTTTATGCCATCATCTTTTTATATACTAACATGAGTCACTCTGCTATGTTTTTTTGCAATCAATAACACAAAGACTAATATAAGTCGAAAATGAGCATTTATTGAAATGCCAGAATATGGTGTACTTTCATTGTACATCCACCAAAAGTTATTTCAGCAATATGTAAAGTTATACATGACATTGGCAAAAAAAAAGATGGGGACATCTAGAAATTAACACAAATACAAATATTGCCACTTGAATGCGACACTGTCGCTTACATTTAAAAACAAAACTCTTATAATTACAATTCATTTGTCATTCTAGCCCAGTGGCAACCTAAACTACATTCCATTACATCATTTTCCATCTTATTTTACAAAACAATCTGAACTTCCTTTACCACTTAATACTATTGTATCCTCTTTATATAACAACTTCATCTCTCTTTACCCCATCTTTTCGCACACCGCGTTATATCTTGTGTTACATGATGTATTTCTTTATATACACTCTCGTAATTACTCTACACACGCACCTCATCCTTTTTTTACCTCTATATATCCCTTATAACCATACCTTTATATATCCCTTATAACCAAACCTTTATATATCCCTTATAAACATACCTTTATATATCCCTTATTACCATACCTCTATATATCCCTTATAACCAAACCTTTATATATCCCTTATAAACATACCTTTATATATCCCACCATACTGCTATATATTACTTCCCTTATAACCAAACCTTTATATATCCCTTATTGCCATACCTCTATATATCACTTATAATCTTGCCTTTATATATCCCCCATAACCATACCTTTATTTATCTATCATTGACATACGTTTATATGTTATAATAACACCTTTATATACAGTATGTTCATAACACCTTTATACATGTATACAGTATATCCATAACACTTTATCTTCATAACAACACCTTTATATGTCCGTATTATTCATACACTTATATATCCCTAGAATATCTTTATAGCAACTAGATATATTCATACTGTTTGATATGCAATTATCATATATTGTGTTGCTTCTTTTCATGTTTTTAGGAGATGACTAGGTTGTTATGACTAGTCGCGAAATCGGTGCGTGCTTTATCACAATGAAATATGTTTTAACTTTTTACACACAAACCTAATGCATATATCCCAATACATCTACAATGTACATACACCTCCTAATATTTTGTTTCTAGGCCTTATCTATATCGACTTAAATATGCATGTACCCCCTCATAATCTCTTAACACAAAAGCCTTATATCTCCTTTAATGGTCGTATATGCCCTCCAGAGCTTGAAATCAAGGAAACTATAGACTTTTCTACTTAACCCCTTTTCCCAGATCTTCACTTTCAACATGACAAACAGGGACGGCTTACTACTGGGTTGTACGATAAGCGGGACGATTTCGCCTTACCGATCGTGAACGTTCCCTTTCTTGATAGTAACATTCCTGATTTCCCTACTATACGGTGTTTACATGTTGCAGTTGATTCGGTATTAAAGGCTTGCTCCGAATATCGCAAATTCCATGACAGATGTTGACTGCTGGCGGACACGGGGTTTCTAAAGATGCAGTTTGATAAAGACTATAGGAAAATTTATCTCTTTGTGTGATGTAAAGGTCGATGTTTTTTTATTTTGCTCATAAGAGTGAATTTCGGTTTTGTTATCGATGTGAGGTGTGACATTACTTGGATTAGTCCTAGATTTACATGGCGGATGTCGTCGATGTCGCAGAAGACAATATTTTCTTATCCTCCTTGTACTTTTTGAAGGGTATCCATGAACATCTTTACTTTGTTGATATTTGGCCTTTGATTTGTCGATTTTGAAATCGAACTACGTTTTTGTCAACAATTCGGTATTCTCTTGTTGTCCTTTATGTCCCGTACACTTTTTGTATATGTCCTTGTCGCTTATAAGTCGAATAGGCTTACTAGTCCTCTGTTCATATGTGTATGTACCCAACGTATATCTTGAATTCTGTATATTTCAATTACCATTCCTCTGTATATCTAAACTGTTCTGCTTTTATATGTCCCTCATACCCCACGCTCTACGTATCCCCCATATCATATTCATACCTTTACATATCCTCGTAGCCATACCTCTATATATTCCTCGTAGCCATACCTCTATATATTCCTAGTAACCATACCTATATATATTACTTGTATCCATACCACTATATATTCCTTGTATCCATACATCTATATATTCCTCGTATCCATACCTCTATATATCCCTTGTAACCATACCTTTATATATTCCTTGTATCCATACCTCTATATATTCCTCGTATCCATACCTCTATATATTCCTTGTAACCATACATCTATATATTCTTTATAGCCATACTTCTATATATTCCTTGTAACCATACCTCTATATATTCCTTGTATCCATACCTCTATATATTCTTCGTATCCATACCTCTATATATTCCATGTAACCATACATCTATATATTCCTTGTAACCATACCTCTATATATTCCTTGTAACCATACCTCTATATATATTACTTGTATTCATACCTTTATATATTCCTTGTATCCATGCATCTATATATTCATCGTATCCATACCTCTATATATTCCTTGTAACCATACCTCTATATATTCCTTGTATCCATACCTCTATGTATTCCTCGTATCCATACCTCTATATATTCCTTGTAACAATACATCTATATATTCCTTGTAACCATACCTCTATATATTTCTTGTAGCCATACCTCTATATATTCCTTGAAGCAATACCTCTATATATTCCTTGTAACCATACTGATATATATTACTTGTATCCATTCCTATATATTCCTTGTATCCATACATCTATATATTCCTCGTATCCAAACCTCTATATATTCCTTGTAACCATACCTCTATATATTCCTTGTAACCATACTGCTATATATTACTTGTATCCATTCCTATATATTCCTTGTATCAATACATCTATATATTCCTTGTATCCAAACATCTATATATTCCTTGTAACCATACCTCTATATATTCAATGCAAACAATACCTCCATATATTCCTTGTAGCCATACATCTATATATTCCTTGTACCATACCTTTATATATATTCCTCGTAACCATACCTCTATATATTCCTTGTAACCATACCTATATATATCCCTCGTATCCATACCTCTATATATTCTTTGTAGTCGTACCACTATATATTCCTTGTATCCATACATCTATATATTCCTTGTCATCATACCACTATATATTCCTTATAGCCATACCTCTATATATTCCTTGTAATCATACCACTATATATTCCTTGTAGCCATACCTCTATATATTCTTTGTAGTCGTACCACGATATATTCCTTGTATCCATTCCTTTATATATTCCTTGTATCCATACATCTATATATTCCTCGTATCCATACCTCTATATATTCCTTGTAACCATACATCTATATATTCTTTATAGCCATACTTCTATATATTCCTTGTAACCATACCTCTATATATTCCTTGTATCCATACGTCTATATATTCCTCGTATCCATACCTCTATATATTCATTGTTAGAATACTTCTATATATTCCTTGTAACCATACCTCTATATATTCAATGAAAACAATACCTCCATATATCCCTCGTATCCATAACTCTAAAGATTCCTCGTATCCATCCCTCTATATATTCCTTGAAGCAATACCTCTATATATTCCTTGTAACCATACCTCTATATATTCCTTGTAACAATACCTCTATATATCCCTCGTATCCATAACTCTATAGATTCCTCGTATCCATACCTCTATATATTCCTTGTAGCCATACCTCTATATATTCCTTGTAACAATACTTCTATATATTCCTTGTAACCATACCTCTATATATTCAATGTAAACAATACCTCCATATTTTCCTTGTAGCCATACATCTATATATTCCTTGTACCATACCTTTATATATATTCCTTGTAACCATACCTCTATATATTCCTTGTAACAATACCTCCATATATCCCTCGTATCCATACATCTATATATTCCTTGTAACCATACCTCTATATATTCAATGTAGCCATACCACTATATATTCCTTGTAGCCATACCTCTATATATTCCTTGCTATCATACCACTATATATTCCTTGTAGCCATACCTCTATATATTCTTTGTAGTCGTACCACTATATATTCCTTGTAGCCATACCTCTATATATTCTTTGTAGTCGTACCACTATATATTCCTTGTAGCCATACCTCTATTTCTCGTAGTCATACCTATATGACTCTCATTTCTCTTTTACTTCTATACTCATCATGCTATAATATTTCCAGGACAGTCATATGAGTGCATCTGCATATCTTTTACAGTCATACATCTAAATACCACTCATAGTGATACCTTTATATATCCATTGTTCTCTCTTCATAGCAACTTATTTTATTCATCATACAGTCTGGTATGCAATTAACTTCAGTTATATTGCCCCTTTAGTACCGTAGGTATTTTGGAGATGACTGAATTGTAAAAGCTTGCAGCGAAACCTATGCCTACTGTATCACAATAAAATATGCTAAAAGTTGTCTTTGACAAGAATATCAAAGTAAACAACTATGTCGTTCTCAACATTATTGATATGATAATAGATGTATCAATATGTGATTTTTCTCTTCAGGTCATTATAGTTCAAACATTTTAACTGATGGAATCCTATTCTTAACATATAATACACAAAACTGAAGATAATTGCTGTAGACGTGTTATCATATTTGGGTCTATAGCAAAACAGGTTAAGCTCTAACTGAGAATACACATTTAAAATACATAGTGTTTTCTGTTTATAATAACAATTTCCGGGTTTCTATATTAAGTTTTGCGAAAGAAATAATAAAAAGAAAAAAAGAAAAGAACAAAATAGTGGACAAGGAGTACTATTACCTTATACAACTTACCGTCGATCCCAGGAAACTCCTCCTTATCGTCCGCAATTTGACGTACAAAATGACGACTTATTTTATATCTTTTTCAATCCCGGAAAAAGCATTTGATGACGAGATTCCCACAATGTTTGTATTATTAATGAGATCATTTCTATACTGGTAGGAAACAACATCTATAAAGACAGTCGGGGCAAAGTTTTGTTCCTCTATCATCGCATCACTTAATAAAGCAACTGGTGATTCAACAGCAGAGGCTTAGCGCTTCAGACATTACTGACTTTACCTGTTGTTGTTACCTGTTCGTTTTACCTGGTTGCGTTATGTAGCTGGTGTGATCTTGACCTAACGATTTCTACTACCTGTGTCATTGAGTGATGGTTCTGATGACCAGCTTTAACTGTAAACTAATGAGAGTGTGGGCGTTATACTAAATGAAATAGTTTTATGAGTTTATATTTTATTGAACATTGACATGAACATGAATACATTTGTTTGTAATAACCTTTCATACAGAAAGTGTAAATTAGCCCCCCCCCCCCCTAAATTTGGCCGTAGAACACTTATTGGAAGTACATGTACACCTTCAATTACATTGTACCCAAAGCGTAACTGAGACAATGTCTTTATGAGAATTTTGTGAAGAAACCTTTGTTCTTAGACCACATCTTCATCGCATCCCTCATCCAGTCCTCCCGAGCTTCAATGAACTGAGTAGTCAGAGAACTTCTTGGCCATTCCTGCTCATAGTTGATATCATAAACCTGAGCTTTTTCTTCAATGAAGATACTTTGTCAAATGTTTTTTGCTGTCTTTTCTCCCGAAAATCTCTGTCAATAAATTATTTTGACTCCTTTGGTCTGGTAATCGTTGATCGCCTGTATATTTTCTTTCGTTTCTTTGTTGATGGTGGAATTAGGAATTTCCTATGCATCAGATAACCCAAAACAATCCCTCCCTCAGGTCTGCATTATTAAAATAGATACATGTATTTGTTATTTTGGATCACATTTGTGAATGTTTAGACGGGTTCTTTGAGTAGGTGCCGTAGTTGATCTTCGATAGGCTAGAAAATCGAGTGTAACACCAAATGGAAACAAACTTTCTGCAATACAAGGTTTGTATGTTAGATTGTCTTATATCATTCCTTCATTAATAAAGATCATGTGTAGCACGTTCTGAGTCTTGCCCTCTCTATAGCGGTTCCGTTAAGTGATGAGATACATCCGGGATATATCAATCCGTTACTGTGAGATTGTACCGACAGCTATTTAAGTTGCTGAACAGGATATACAACTACAGTAGCTGTAAAGATAGCACCTATCCTAATCCGATAACAGCGAAAGTAGATATAAAGAAAAATTAAGTAAACGAATAAGGTTTTAAAAATCATCTTTAAACGATGATTATCACATCCTGCAAAAACAATTATAAGCATTCTCAAAAATTAGTTAATGTAAGAATAGTAATGGTATACGCAAGGTGGTCATAACATTATTGCCGATAGTACATGTACTTCTAGACAGCTTGAGCCTTGACAGCTATCTAGGCAATACGGACACATTTCTCATCGTGAACTAACAGTATCCCCTTTAATAGAGTTTAACTGGCACACTGGTAACGTTATTGCTGTATTCTTTCACTAAATTGATCAGAGGTTTGATACCCGATCGGATGTGATAGTTTCAATTTCCTGTCCACAGTTTTTCTCCGTAACTACGTTTTCGTTGCGATCAAATGCGCGCTTCATTCATATATATATATATATATATTTATATATACCTGTATCATAATTGCTGTAAGGTATGTAAATTAACTGTAACTGAAATTAATTTGGTAAAAGCCTATGCCCCATGCACCTATCTATTTCAATGGATGACAGGGACAGCGTGAAACTGGAAGGTACCATATCGCGACTGAAAAGAACAGTACCTTAACATGTATATATATTCAGCATACGTGTACATGTACATTTTGTACTTTTATGATATCCACTTATGATAAGCCTTTAACTTTATTTGAGAAACACAATTTAGGCAAATGAGTATTTAGCTAATTTATTCTTTGAGATTCGCGAAAATGAGTAAAGGGTTTAAATAATTTATAATTTAAAAAAGTTGAACAAAAAATGGCCGAGACAGCCTAGGAAAAAAAAGATACATATGGTAATGTACGCCCTGATAGCCACCTTATAGTTAAATAACTTTGACGTCGGTCATTTTTTATATCTAAAAGTTAAAATGCATTTGTATCTATAAATTGATGAATGATTGATGTAAAATATTTATACCAGTTATTCTACTTCTTGAATTACGGGTATCAAGATTATAATTTCTTTGGTTATATTGGTCTAAAAAGAGCCGAACAATCCATAAACAGCTGATAAAGAGAAGAATTCATTTATTCATTCTGATATCATGAAACTCTTTAATTATAATAATAAGATCAAATTGTTGATATTAGGAATAGATTTTTAGAAATTGTTCTCTCGTCATAGCAACTTAATTTATTCATCATTTAGTCTGGTATGCAATTAACTTTAGTTATATTGCCCCTTTACCGTAGGTATTTTGGAGATGACTGAATTGGAAAAGCTTGCAGCGAAACCTATGCCTACTGTATCACAATAAAATATGCTAAAAGTTGTCTTCCCGAGATGTTTTAACTACATATTTGGTACATATAAGATATTTGTGTTGGACTATGGACTCACAAATGGGTTTACTTAAAGTTGTTTTTACTTGGCAGAGGTAGCATCCCGTTAACACAAAAAAATAGGACAATTAAAGTAACATAATTTATTAAACTTGCCATCCTCATAACACCGTTATGCAATTATTTAGAGCAGTTACCTTAATCATTGTTCGGCCTTAATAGCTGTCACTGTCGTTGACTACGTGTGTGTTCAGTTTGTTTATGGGTCACCTACCAGTGATGTCATTTTCAAGTATGACAAAAAACCTACCGTATATAATTATTGTCGAAGGACGTTAGTTCGTACGTCATAGTGTACTGGTCGTTGTTATGTCATTAAGGAGAGGCTGTAAATGGAGTACCAGGAAAACAAAAACCGTTCTAATAATTTTTGTATCAGTTTTTGATAGTGCATTTGATTGAAAGTGGACATTTTACAAGACACATCGCATTCACGTGTCAATGCCTTGTTAGCTTAATCTATCAGTTTTTATACGTAAACTCTTCTACCTTTACTTTCATTTTAGACGTATTGCTAATTCACTTATTATAAAAGCCGAGAATATCAAAGTAAACAACTATGTCGTTCTCGAGGTTTTTTTTTCTGATGTTATGAAATGATGAGTTGAATGCCGATTACACACAGCTAACTACACATATCGTTTTGAAATCTGCTATAGTTAAATGATTATTGATATGGTAAAAGATGTATCAATATGTGATTTTTCTCTTCGGGACATTATAATTCAAGCATTTTAACTGATGGAATCATATACTTAACATATAATACACAAAACTGAAGATAATTGCTGTATACGTTTGTCATATTTGGGTCTATACCAAAACAGGTTAAGCTCTAACTGAGAATACACATTTAAAATACATAGTGTTTCCTGTTTATAATAACAATTTCCGGGTTTCTAAATTAAGTTTTGCGAAAGAAATAATAAAAAGAAAAAAAGAAAAGAACAAAATAGTGGACGAGGAGTAACATTACCTTATACAACTTACCGTCGATCCCAGGAAACTCCTCCTTATCGTCCGCAATTTGACGTACAAAATGACGACTTATTTTATATCTTTTTCAATCCCGGAAAAAGCATTTGATGACGAGATTCCCACAATGTTTGTATTATTAATGAGATCATTTCTATATTGGTAGGAAACAACATCTATAAAGACAGTCGGGGCAAAGTTTTGTTTCTCTATCATCGCATCACTTAAAAAAGCAACTTGATTCAACAGCAGAGGCTAAACGCTTCAGACATTACTGACTTTACCTGTTGTTGTTACCTGTTCATTTTACCTGGTTGCGTTATGTAGCTGGTGTGATCTTGACCTAACGATCTACAACCAGTGTCACTGAATGATGGTTGTGATGACCAGCTTTAACTGTAAACTAATGAGAGTGTGGGCGTTATACTAAATGAAATAGTTTTATGAGTTTATATTTTATTGAACATTGACATGAACATGAATACATTTGTTTGTAATAACCTTTCATACAGAAAGTGTAAATTAGCCCCCCCCCCCTAAATTTGGCCGTAGAACACTTATTGGAAGTACATGTACACCTTCAATTACATTGTACCCGAAGCGTAACTGAGACAATGTCTTTATGAGAATTTTGTGAAGAAACCTTTGTTCTTAGACCACATCTTCATCGCATCCCTCATCCAGTCCTCCCGAGCTTCAATGAACTGAGTAGTCAGAGAACCTCTTGGCCATGCCTGCTCATAGTTGATATCATAAACCTGAGCTTTTTCTTCAATGAAGATACTTTGTCAAATGTTTTTTGCTGTCTTTTCTCCCGAAAATCTCTGTCAATAAATTATTTTGACTCCTTTGGTCTGGTAATCGTTGATCGCCTGTATATTTTCTTTCGTTTCTTTGTTGATGGTGGAATTAGGAATTTCCTATGCATCAGATAACCCAAAACAATCCCTCCCTCATGTCTGCATTATTAAAATAGATACATGTATTTGTTATTTTGGATAACATTTGTGAATGTTTAGACGGGTCCTTTGAGTAGGTGCCGTAGTTGATCTTCGATAGGCTAGAAAATCGAGTGGTAACACCAAATGGAAACTTTCTGCAATACAAGGTTTGTATGTTAGATTGTCTTATATCATTCCTTCATTAATAAAGATCATGTGTAGCACGTTCTGAGTCTTGCCCTCTCTATAGCGGTTCCGTTAAGTGATGAGATACATCCGGGATATATTAATCCGTTACTGTGAGATTGTACTGACAGCTATTTAAGTTGCTGAACAGGATATACAACTACAGTAGCTGTGAAAATAGCACGTATCCTAATCCGATAACAGCGAAAGTAGATATAAAGAAAAATTAAGTAAACGAATAAGGTTTTAAAAATCATCTTTAAACGATGATTATCACATCCTGCAAAAACAATTATAAGCATTCTCAAAAATAAGTTAATGTAAGAATAGTAATGGTATATGCAAGGTGGTCATAACATTATTGCCGATAGTACATGTACTTCTAGACAGCTTGAGCCTTGACAGCTATCTAGGCAATACGGACACATTTCTCATCGTG